TAAACTAAAGTGGAACTGCAGTGAATTCTTGGTCAGAACTTGTAATGAATACAGAATTTTATCCATGAAGAATAAATATTAAACTAATAAGGTGATGAAATCTTCCAATTCAAACATTTTAGACAAGCAATATATATATATATATACACACACACACATTACAATTTCTAGTGGTAGAAAGTCTAACATCAACACTTATCAATATACCTATATTTTAACACACAGAATAAATACTGAAGTTTCCAGCGAATGTAATGTCATTCTACTGTTTCCAGAAATTTAGTAGAGGCTTTTTTATTCAGGAAATGCTATTATATGGTTTGGGGTTTTTATGTTCTTAACTTAGATGATTTGACAGTATTCACTTGGTTTTACATTTTACTTATTTATTCTAAAACTGTAAATAAATTCTACTCTCTACCTATGTATTTTTTCAAAGTTACCAAAATAAAACTTCTTCAGAGATTTTGCTTTCTAAATACTATAGTGATACACACACTTACATACAAAAATATATACACACACACATATACACACATACACACAAAGAGAATACGTAGACAAAAAAAGTACACAGGAGATCAAACATACAGAGCTGTATGTACCATAAAAGTTTTGATCCTAGAGAAGATCCAGGTTTCAAATTTATCAGCAGTAGAAACACTTGCTGGAAAAATAACTTTAGCACAATTACTCTATTTATTCTAAAAAAAAGTTGTCAAGCTGTCTTTTAAACTGTATTACTTATTGTAAAGTACCACTGCAGGTCTGTCAAACTCCCCATTGTGTTTTACATTTGCCTGCAGGGCTCCACTGATGCAATGACCCTGCTTTCAGGATTTGAGCATTTCCAGACAGGAGGCTATACCATTTCAGCTTCCACTGTCCTAAAGCACCTGATGTCTTACTTACTTTTCTAAAGAACTAAAATTACAATACTACCATCAGATTGGTATGGCTTAAATGTAGACTTCAGAGATTCTCTTTAAGATTACGAAAGCATACATTCTATTTACTCAAAATGTCTAAAAAGTAGAGTGGAGGCACAGCTCAGATAATTGGCAGCCCCCATTCTCACAGCCAGACATACTTTTGCATGAACAGGAGGGGGGACGTAGGAAGTTCCTGCTCCTGGTCATCAGCAGCTGCCTACAGGTAATTTCTCCTCAACTGCACTCTTCTTTGATGGATATAGAATCCAGAA